CAAAAACCGCGATAGAGTGAAGCCGCGGAAGTCGAAGCCTGAAGTGGCGAGGGTTCACTGTACAACAAATCCACAGGCGCCAAAGTCAGGCCGGGAGTGTTTCCTGTCTCAATTTCCAGACCGTTTCAAAAATTAGATTCGACACCCCGAACACTACTGACTCAAGACCAAACCAGAACAGTTATGGGATGTCAACAAGAGCAGCATACATGAAGAAAGCAAAGCGTTATTTATTTAGTTCTACCCCCACCCCCTTTACCGCAAAGCGTTATCAAATGGGAAAGAAAGAGATCTTCTCAGACTCTCCAGGGACCATCACTGCGCTTGTCTGTGACCAAGATTGAAAGTCTTGCTGAAATGTACTGCTAACAGCCCCATCCCAAGTGCCCCCCAAAGTGTCCTCCAGTCTCTTCTGGCTGCAGTGTCGATTCTAGGGGCCACTGTGGCTCTCACTCTGGGACCACTGCTGACGTGGGGCACTGAGTAGCTAGTGGAGGAACTGAAGGGTCTTAAAGCTGATGTTCCAGGCTTAAGTGGAGAGCAAATGCTTTGAGAATGACGAGGGCAATGAATGTACAAATGTGTTTTACGCAATTGATGTTTGTATGGATTGTGATAAGAGTTGTATGAGCCCCTAATAAAACAATTAAAAAATAAAAATAAAGCTGATGTTCCCTCTTTCCGCTCCCTGTCATCTTAAGTCACGGCTTGACAACCACCAGGACGACTCACCGATATTCCTGGGAAAGACTGTGTTTGATGGGACAACCCAGATGCTCAGCCTGGCTGTAAATCTTCCTCTTGTATTTTGTGTGATCAGAAAGACCAAAGTGACTGTCAGAAGGGATTTTGAAGCTTGCTCTTAAATAGAAGAAATGGCTGGGAAAGAAACTTTATGTGTGTGTGAGTGAGAGAGAGATCTTAATAGATTTCAAGGGTAAGCATGAGATGGGCAAAATGAAATAATACAATGAAATGTACAAAGACCTCGAGGTGGAAAACTAAAGAGGAAGAACCTGGCTCTTCTCAGGCTGAACTGAAGGGAAAAAACACAAGCTTTAAGTTGCATTATCGAAGGATTCTATGGGCAAAATATTGCATGCTGCAGCAGCATCAAAAGAAAACGGAAGGAATTCTGAGTCACTGCCCCAGAAAGGAACTGGCCGGTGTGGAGCCCTTTCGGGAGGTAGCACACGCACAAGAATCCACGGCCCTGAAGGAAGACGCCCATCCTGCACTGGCTAAAGACAAGGCTCCAGGGATTGTCAGAAGATAGGCACGCCTATTTTATTTTACTTCCTGTGATTGCGTGTTGCAGAATAAAGATTTGTTGAGGCCATTTTTTCTCAGCAGCATGTGCCCACTTTGGGTCTTTGTTTCATATCTAGAGAATTCTCGCAGTATTTTAAATTTCTTCATAATGTTACGCACTACAGAGTAGTGGCAGCCATTTATTTA